AGGAGGAGGAGGAGGAGCGTGGGGAAGGGCCCTCGGGAAATGTAGTCATGCCCCACATGCGGGGCAGCGCGGGGACCACAAGCTCCACAAGGCAGCGGGAGGGAGGAAGAGGAGGAGCTGGCAGAGAGGGAGGGGTCTCGCCCATCACCGCGTGGGAGCCGCGCCGGCGGCTGCGTGTCTGATAGAGGGGCAAATCAGCCTCGGAAGGTATCGGGGCGAGGGAGGACGCCCCCTTCCCCAGCTCCGCTCGGCCGTGGTTAGCTCCCCGCCCGCCTCCTGTGGCCTGCCCGGGAGGACGCTGCCTCCCCCCTCTCCCCGCCTCGGCTCCCTCCACTGATGTAACTCCCCTGAGCTGCTTGAATTTATCTCTGTGTCCCCCTTTTACTGTTTTTTTAAGGGGGGCGGGGGGCAGTCTGGGGTGTGCCACATCCTGGACGCGCCGCTGCCTGCTGTGCTCCAAGCGAATTCCTGAATATTTTCATCCCCCCGCTCCCGCCCAGCCTGGCAGTAGCCCCCAGGATTTGCTTATGGGGTGAGTCCGGCCATCAGAAACTACGGCCCTGCAGTTCTCCCGAAGGGAAGAGCATCCGTAGAGGGAAGCCAAGTGGAGGTGGCGCTCCTAGAGAATCGGGCCCCGGAGCTGATGCCCCGTCTGCCGGGAGATGACGCATTTTGAGAGAGCATCATCCAAGAGCATCTTCTCTCCCCGCCTCTCCTCCCCCTCTCCCAGCACTCAGCCTGCCAGAAGCAAATGCAACCTGACAGGGCTCGGCTATACCGCTGAAATATTTATATGTTCCCGCCTGGAAGTGCGGCAGCAGGATCCCAGATGTCCGGAGACTGTCACACACCCCGCACCTCACACACACACCCACAGACAAACACACACACACCCCTCCTCGCCCCCGCCCAGGCTGTGAGGGGGCCAGGCAGCCTGGGGTATTCCTGCCCAGAGGCTTCCAGTCCCATTGAGCCCCCGAACTGCTCCCGAGGAGGGTGGCCAGACCACGGCTGACGTGTCCGACAGCTCTCTGTCCCCACCCTGCACCTCTCCCGGGCGAGTGGGATCTGTGCCTCCATCCCTGATCGCCAGGATGGTGGCAGGGTAAGGTCCCTTCCTTGTATGCAGCAGGATCTGGGTGCAAGAACGCCCCAGGGTGGGGGTCCAGAGTGATGCTGTGCATCTGGGCAACGCCCCTGCCACCGCACTGGGGCAGTCACCCTAAGCAGTGTCACCTGTGACCCCCACACAGCCGTTCCAGGGCGGGGGCTGGGTGGGGACAGAACAGAGCAGGTTTAAGGGCTGTAGTAGGGGGAGGGCAGTGGAGGGGCTGGGGCGGAAGTAGAGTAGGTTTAGGAGCAGGGACAGGGACAGGGACAGGGACAGGGGCTTGAGCAGGGTCTGAGGCTTGAGCAGGGTCTGAGACATGGGCAGGGGCTGGAGCAGGGGCAGAGGTGGGCCAGAGAAGGGCAGGGACAAGGGGAGGTCAGGGACTGGGTAAGGGACGGGAGCAGGGGTTTGGATAGGGACAGGGGCGTGGGATGCGGCAGGAGCAGGAGCTGGGACCTGACAGGGGCAACAGCTGGGGTAGGAGAGTGGCTGGGGTAGGGTTAGGGGCAGGGACAAGGGCTGGGGCTCGGGCTGGGGCGGGAAGGGAAAGAAGCAGAGACTGGGGCAAGGGGTGGCGAAGGGAAGGGCTGATGCAGGGAAGGGAATGCCTGGGGCAGGGGCTGGAAAGGAAAGTCTTAGGATGGGGCAGGGGCTGGACCAGGACCACGAGAAGGGAAAGACTGCTGCAGGGGCTGGGACTGGGAAGGGAAGGGCCGGGGCAGGGGCAGGAAGTCGGGGGGCCGGGCAGAGCCGGGGGGGCCGGGCACGGCTGTGGGCCGGGCTGGGCGCACCCGGCGGGCTCCGGCTGCCACCGCCCCTGCCGCTCCCCCGCTCTGCCCCAGCCCTCCCTCAGTCCGTCCGCCCGCCCGTGGCTCCGTCCGGACACAGGTAGGGCTTCTCCTTCCCCGGGACGGAGCTGCCGGTGCCAGAGGGGCTGCCCCGGTACCTGGAGCGGGGGTGGAGGGTCCCCCACGCGGAGATGCGGATGAGTGTGGTAGTGGGAGCAGCGGGACGAGGCGGCTCCCGGTGCGGCATCACTCCGGGAAGCGGGGGGCGTGCACCCACCCACCCAAGTCCCCCGTGTCCACCCGTCCCCAGGGGTTCCTCCCGTGCGCTGCCACCGCCCCGGCTGGGCGGCTCTTCGAGGCTGCTTGGAGTTTTTCGGTCCCTGGCTCCCGGCTTTGGGATGCTCCCTGGCACTGCCGAAACAAGCCCGAAGTGCTGTCCCCACCTGGGGACAAGTAGGGGGTCTCCAAGGGGAGCGGCTTTCCAAACACCCCCACTCGCCACTGCAGGGAGGAGTGTGCGTGGGGAGGGGCGACGGCAGGGATGCTGCATGGCTTTTGGGAGGGAACATCCCATGAGGTC